TGTGTGTGTGTGTGTGTGTGCTTTTGCCATATTCAAAGAAACATAGACTGCCTGATATATTGATGATTAGTCTGTTCAGACTATATAATATACATTAAATCAAATTGCTAAATAAAGTATTACAATTTTAATTCTAGAACATCGTTGTTCTTAATCATATAGTGTGAATAAAAAAAGCCAGTAGCACCTATCACATTTGGTGTGGCTAGAAACTGTGGTCTCTTTTGCTTAACCAGATGATGATGATGAAGATGATGATGAGGAGGAGGAGGGGGAGGAGGAAGAAGAGGAGGATGCTGATGATTATGATGATGACAAGAACGACGTCGATTGTGATACCTCACAATATTTCTGCATCAATGTACGAGGTGTAATGGTAAGGCTCTATACAGACTAGTGATCTCAGCCTTACACAACAAATGTTGGTACTCTAGCAGTAACACATACCTGTTGTATAAAGAAACACAACAACAGAACATTTACATTTTCGACACGCAAGCCCTCTGATATTTGTAATAGATACTCCCACTTTGTATTCCTAGACATTTGGGCTAGTTGTATTAAGTTAGATCATCATCATCATCATCGTCATGATACTCTTACAGTTACAGATATCTTGTGTGAACAAAAACACCAAAACAGGACTCATAAGTTCAACTCACATTGTATGTCCACTGATACTAAATGTGAGAGGGGAGGGTGGAAGGGTGGGGGCTTTAATGGGAAATTCAACGCCAAACTAAAAAGAAATTATTATTTTTTAAATCCTTTGTATAATTCTTTCCTCGCTCATCACTTTATTAAAGCGAAGATGGGTTTACCAAATGGCAACCCTTTGCAAGGTCTTGGCGAGATAAAGACATTAGTTCTCTCTATTCTTCACGCTGAAAGTCTCCCTTCAACCAACGCCGGTTGAGATTTTGATGGCAGCCCCACGTCCGCGCCTCCCGGAGATCGAAGACTGTGTGGTGCTGGATGATGCTGATTATTGTCCTTACACTCATCGATCTGCCCTCGGCGATGGCGCGTGTATAGTTTCGTGTATGGTGCGCCGTAGGAACACTCTTCATGATTTTCAGAAATATTGGGACTCGGGGTTTTGAGGGGGTGGGGGGATAAAATATCGAGTATTTAATGTTTACAATTTTAATTCAGTATTTCCTTTTAAACTGCTTCTTTGGAATTTAGCTAATATGTGATTTGCGTTGTTTTTTATTAAACATTTATGTCTGAATCCCTCTAAATAAATATTTGCATGTATTTTTTTATAGTTAACAATTTCATTTGCAATTTAATGCGTTATGCCTTTCTTACTTTTCTATACCGATTCACGCTGCTCCGCGTGATAGAATTCTCATAATAACATAACTTCAGAGATATACATTTTGTCTTTAGTTACTTTTACCTGTTTTAGTTTTCACCTTACCCATACAAACATCAGCTCGAAATAAAAGAAAAAATCGTCACTTAGATTCAACTTTTCTTTTAAATAACGAAGAGAGGAGACGGTTTTGTTCAGAATTTGAACATGTAACTATGATAAGCAAGGTCAAAGATTACTTAGTTTGCTTTGTTTTTACCTCTTCCTACATTTAATGTAACTTCAAAGAGGCTGCACACTACTCAAGACACGGGCTAGAAATGAAAAAGTATGATACAGAAACTCACCATGGACTAGATTTATAATTCCTTTTTTGGGGCACTACGACCCGTAACAAAAAAAAACGCGACTGTGGGGTAGCGATAATCGCTTCTCCGTCGCAAGCAGATGATCAGAGTTTGATTCCCATATTGAGACAATTTTTATTGCGAAACTTGGTCTTTCTTTCGGGTACATTGTGTCCATCTCCGCCCAGGTTGATCCTGACAGGCAAGGTCAAAGGCCGCCACCTGATTCGTCTAAACCGGGTGGATAGGACATAAAATCATCTGCATTTTTTAAATAGGGAAACTATTGTTCATTCACATAGCTTCCAAAATGGACCACCTTGCCCCCTTCCCAGACTCATTTAAGTCAAGACAAAGACAAAGATGAGAACCATTAATTGCCTTCGTTGTTGCTTACATTATCTTCAGACGTTGCTAGTTTACATGGAGAACTCTAAGAGAACGTGTGCAGCATGCATGGTAATAATAAGAACTTGAAAACATAAAAACTAAGTGAAACACTTCAAATCATAGGTTCAAAATATTTACACATAGACATATAAACAAGCGCGCGTTGAGAAAAAGCGATGCAGATTGGGAGAGAGACAAGAGAGACAAGAGAGAAAGAGAGAGTGAGAGAGAGAGAGAGAGCGAGAGAGGGAGAGAGAGGAGGGGGGGCAAGGGATGGAGGCATTTACACGCATTACCAAAATGATGCAAGAAGATACAATTTAAATTGTAGTAAATAACTTGGTCTCCAGGGACGATCATTCAGATGTTATCATAGTCGGCAGACTGCTCAGATCGTACAAACAATCGTCACCTCTCTAGATGAGAGGAATCAGCGTACCAATAACAAGAAGACATTTAATAAAATATCACCGCATCGAGGAAATCAAACCCGGACATTGCGCTTTCAAGATAAAGAGCCTAGCCATAACAGCACATGCACTGGTTCATTGATGACGTTTAGAAAAAACTCCCCAAGGATAACCGAAATAAATGTCCTGTGGGTATTCCATAACTCGAGAGAAAAAGTATGTCGGAATTCCTGGTATAAATATGTACCAAATACAAGAAACATAGAAGGGTGTTGGGGCACCGAGATGGTGTCGATAGTGCGGAGAAGGTTCAGAAATACTCTGGCAAGAAAGAGTTAGTGGAAGGAACCGTTGGTCTGGGTAGAGCTGGTGGGAAGAGAGGCCGGGGTGTCCGGGGCTGTGTGTGTGTGCGTGCGTGCGTGTGTGTTCCACGTCTGCGCGGACTAGGACAGACGTGACGCGTGCTGAGGCTGTTAGCTCCAGTGACGTGACGTGCTCTGACAGCAGACGCGACTCTCGGGTTCAGACGTTCATTTAGGAAGACATATTTTCACTCACTCCTGTGTTTTCGCTGCCTGAAAAATTGATTTGGTGATCACACTGATGTGTGGATCCGAGTTCGGCCGCCGCTGTTCAGTGGAATAACTCTTACGCAGTGATGATTTTTGGTGGAGCGTTTTTGTTAAGGTTTTATTTTCATACATTTATTCTAATCAAGCGCCGATCAGTTTTGATGCCGTAGTGTATTGTCACCCTTGCTAACAATCTGACGGTCTGACGTATTAATTGATTTTTCTGAATGAAAAGATAAACAATTAATTGTTGATTAAATGGGCATCGACTTCCTCTTCATCTGAAGTTTCCTGGATGCGTGGCTATACACTAGTTACTAAATCAAGACCATTGATATTCCGTCTGCTTTCAAATTGAGGTCAAGCTCTCTCCAGTGATGGTGAGTAAGAAAGAAAGAAATGTTTGTGGAAATAAAATGTGTATTGCCTGTGTGCACCCGGGGTGGGCAGCTGTCGGATGGGAATGGAGGTCAAATCAATTTCCTCTCTGTGCTGACCCTTCGACACCGTACATTTCGTATCGGGAAGAGCGATCTGGCGAGTGCTGATTGAAGCGG